CATTTGACCAGTTTTTTTTTTCAATATGGAGAATTAGATGGGGACTCCAGACCTTCAGGTCAGGGTTCATATCCTACTAATCGCCAATGGACATTTAGCTTAGTGGTAATGTCATAACCCTTTAGGCCTACCCTAAAACAATTCTGAACATTTTCTATTAGCAAATTTCTCTATGGCGAAGTAGCTATTACCGTAGGTCTTATGGTAAGACCTAGGCCCAGGACCGATTTACTTTTTCATTTTGATGACCTTTCCTTTTTTGATTTGACCTTTATAAAGAGCTTAAAAAACAAATAATTTAGTATATCAAAGTGTTTTTGTACGGTTATTGGTTACCGAGAAAATTAAAAAAAATGTTGATTTAAAATTCCCATTTGATTCTTATGGAAAATATTGTAAAATGTTGTAGTTGGCTTGTTTATTGATATATTTTTATCAAACTTGGCAGATTTCTTTATTTTATACTAAGCTATTACTATTTTAATAAAAAACACACTTTATTAGTTTCCGTGTAGCAGCAAACCTAGGTTAAATAACATTAGATTTAACGAGTGTTAAATCTAATGTTATTTAAATAGATTTAATTGAAAATCAATTCAGACAAATGGAAATTCGCTTAGTCGGCAGGTTTGCTGCGGCGGAGGTTTTGTTTTTACAAACAACGACATTTGAACAAAATTTTAATTTTGTTTATTACGAAAGAAAATTCATGATATGAAACGAAGGAAAATAAACGGTATCAGCAATATGACCTATACTTTATCCCATTAGCTTGTCAAAAACTATTATCATGGGGGAGCGGTGGGAGTGACTATGATATTTTAAAAGAAAAATTCACAATAACTTTTGAACCCTAATTATTCTAGCAATTGAGATTAAACCATTTTTTTAGAGTTAAAAGGAGTTTTTAGGAGTCACTTCCACCCAAAACTCAAACTCGAAAATTTGACAAAAACAATAATTTTACTCCATAATATGGAGTATATTATGTATTATAGTATATATACTATGTATAGGTCGAGAAAGTAAAAAAATAAATAGACCACGTTAAAGTCTCTTTTAAAATATATTTTGTATATTTCTTAGGAAAATAGTGAGAAGTAGAGTGTGATAGACTTGTAAATCTTTGAGACAAAACGGTAAGGCTAAAGGTCACGAGCCTCCAGCAATAGTAATTACACTTCTCATCAGCTAAAAGCTTGCCCCATTTTCACAACAATCGCACCGAAATACTAACCTCAGTCGCACTCTTTCACACATTGTTTCTGTGGTGACTTTATACAGAGAGATGCAAAAGTCACTTGAAACTATGAATCTATTTAACTTTTAAACACAATTTTTACAGTCACTGTTTTTTTTCAACGTTTTTTGTATTTTAAAAACTTGATCCATGCTTTCAAAAGACTTAATACTAAAACTGTTCATTGAAACTTTGTTAAATGTTTCACACAAACCTGTATTTTCAAAGAAGTCACGTGAAATTATTTCTCTTTATATACAGAGTGTCCTGTAAGAAAACAGCCAAACTCCGGGAAATGATTCTATGGGTCAAAATAAAGAGAAAAACAAGAATTTGTTTTTTCCCAAAATCATTTTGTTAACCACATATCCACCAATTTGTATTTTCACATAAACATTTTTATCTTTGGATCGTTCCAACTGATCATTATGAAACTTGGTATTCATGTTAAGGTAAACTCAATCTAATTCAAAATGGCGGGGATTTAATTTTTTTTAGTTTATGCAAATTACTAAAAAATAGCAGATTTTATGAAAAAATTACATGAATATTATTTAGAATTAAAATTTCCTATCAAACCACACCAAGTAAAAAAAAATAATAAAATAATAACTTAAATATCACAATTTTTTGTTGTAAAATAAGGTAGAATAAGGAAGGCTAAGCTAGTTAGGTTTGCCTAATTTAACAACTAAAAATTGTGATATTTAAGTTATTTTTATTTGATATTTTTGAACTTGGTGTTGTTTCTTCTTGTTATTTTTTTGTTGGTTGTTTTTGGCATTTTTCTATAAAATTAACCATTTTTAAAAATTTAAATAAAAAAAATATTAATGACTTGTATCTTGAAATTTTAAATTAGATCAAGATAATTTTTTTCTATAACATGGGTCTCTTCTACCATAACATACATACCAAGTTGCATATTGATTGGTTAGAACAATCAGAAGATGATAAAAGATTGTGAAAATACAAAATGGTGGATATCAGGTTAACAAAGCGATTTTGAAAAACATTTTATTCTTGATTTTCTCTTTATTTTGACCCAAAGAATCATTTCCCGGAATTTGGTTCTTAACTTACGGGACAGCCCTGTATATGTAAATAAAAATAAAGAATTAAGCTGAGAGATTTAAACATGACAAAATCAATTATCTATATTAAAGTGAGTATAGATGTGCAAAATATGTTAATTGTGTCTGATTAAGTTATCAAACTAAAATTTTTTTTGTCTCGAATTAAGCAAAAATTTTTATTTCTCAAATTTTGTCTCTCAATCACTTTCCAATTTTTAAAAACACAGTACATTAAGGAAGAAGGAATGGACAAACAGTTCATGAAAAGAGTTCCAGGCACTTAATAGGAGTCAAAAGTTCACAACACAATTAAATCGATTTCAGAGCTATTGTGTTGACAACTTGTTGTGTGTTATGAACTGTTTGGAACTCTTTTCGTGGGTAATTCATTACTTGTTCCTTTATGCATTTTTAAGCCAATGATTGTCCTCCAAATGTTTAGTTTAAACAATATATTTTAAATTGTGTTCAATGAAATAGTCTCTTTTATCAAAGAATTCATGTAAAACATGTTGCGTTAACAGAAATCACCTTTATTTTTCTAATTTATTTGTTGTTTACTATATATGTTGAAGATATTGGATAAGACATAGAATATTTTGGCATCTTAAATATTGATTAGAAAAGTAATTATTTTAACTAAAAACTTATTGACAGACTATCCTAGTATAACAATGAACGAACTAAAATTTACAAGCCAAGAAGCACACCATTATTTTTACAATAAAAGTACATGATTTATACGGTGTCGGTAAAGCGCTAAAAAAATCAACATTTTTTCTTCTAAGATGACCCTAGCAAGATTCAAATAAATTGGTAAAACGTACAAATCTACAAAAAAAGTTTGTTATCTATTGAGCTTTGCCCTCCAGCCCTTTTTTGTGTGTGTTCATCATCAATTGAAAATCTACACTGAAAAGAATGCTTTAACTGCAATTAAACAATGGAATTCAACATTTTTACATAAAATTTTACTCTTGTTATAATAGTATAAGGGATTACAATGTTGATATTAAAATCAAGGCCAAAACCCAATCAAACTATGTGTCAAGGGCTAAGGAACTAACATATTGAGTAACAGGTCAGTTTTACATCATTGAAGCCCCATAACAGACTACAGAATACTAACGTCACTGAATAGCAACTGTCATGTCATAATCAGGCACAGACAACTGATGACATTTTATCCTCACTTTTTACAGATTATAAAAAAACTTAAAATGCATTTACTTGCAATTTGTACTCAGATATACAAGTTTTTTTACACATGCAATAAATACCACTCTCGTTGCAGAAAATCTGCAGTGTAATTTCAGGTGCTTCATTGATTTGTTATGTAAATTGTATGTGTGTTAAAAAGTAAGAGAAAAATAATTTAATCGTTAATAATAGTACACAACAAAATAAACCCCTGCTGCAGTAACCTGCAGATATAAATTTGGCAGTTCTAACATTAAGTGTATTCATAAGAATAACATAGAAACTTTGCAAGCACTCAAGACAGAGCCCTTGGAGAGTATTAAAATAAAAATGGCCATGCCTGTGGTACATTGGCTCTATTCATGAAAAAAATCTGCTCAATTAGTAAAGAAGTTTTCACGTTATTTACACACTCCATACTTTCACATCTATAATATAGATCCTTCCATCCGAGTCATTGACTTGATCCACTAAAAGTATTAACAGCCAAATACGTTTCCCAGACATTATTTTGGGGTAAACAAACACAATAAATGTTTATAAACATTTTGAAAAAAAGACAGTCAATTAGCGTTGATGAGTTAGTTATGAACTTAAAAATAAAGCACCCTTTTCACAGAATATCACAAATTATTTATTTATTAAAAAACATAAACATTACTAAACAATCCTATTTTGACAGTTCTCATTATGTATCAGCTTTTTGCTGCTTAGCTCAAATAAGCTGTCGTCAAAAATTCAAACTAAAAAGTTTATAGTGCTGCACCCTGTTGGTAAACCTTGTAACTTTTTAATTCTATTGAACATCATAGAACCAACTTGTTTATTTGAAAAAGCTGTCAAGAATCCTTAATTCCTTTTTAATGAGACTAGTCATAAGGTTAAAATGGGAATTTTAAGAGCCACTGGGACCAAGCCTGAAGGAATTTTTTTAGCCTAGATAAGAATAGGCCTAAATGTTAATCAGGAATGTGAGCTATCACCATGCCAAATTTAAGCCTATTTTAGCCAGTAGTTAATGTGTGATTTAACCCCAAACAAACTAACAAACACACAAACTTTCACATTTATAATAATAAAAAGTATGATTCTGATCAAATTTTGAAAATTTCTTTCTTTCATATGAAACTGTTAACATTTTAAAACACTTATTACTTCCCCTGTAGCAGCAAACCTAGGTGCTCGTTAAACTAATGTATTAAAAAAAGGGAATTAATATGACATTAAAAAAAATAGTGAAAATCCTATCAGGCAAATGGAAATTCGATTAGTCTGCAGGCATGTCTCTTACTTTCTGAATTGCCCTCATATTTTACTGACAACAACCCTAAATGAAACCATATGGTTTATGTTGTATTTGGTACATTCTATGTAAAAAAAATTAATATGACAGGAAGATTAGGTTAAAATTAGATTAACCATTAATTTATTGCCATTGCAAATAATTTGTTTCTCAACCCAACTGTAACAATATTTTGTTTTAGTTCAGGAGTGTGCTGGAATAGTTTGTTTCTACTGTACAATTCAACCCCCATCCCGCGGAAGTAATCAAACTGCGCAACTTTGCTCCAAATTTGACGGCTCCAATAACTACCACATTGACTGCCCTCATTCGACACTATGTATGAAACGGACATTTCACCATTCACTTCAAGGAGGAAGTAAGTTTTTTTATCATTTCATTTGTATAAATACTACAGAAACCTTGGTTATTTATACTAGAATGTTTTTTTACTAAAAAACATTTCAATCAGGATGATGTGTGGGGGGGGGGGGGTGAGGGAAAATCCCATGACAACACAAAGTCACATTTCTAGACACTAGTGGTATTGAATTAATGCAACAGCGATTCAAGAGTGTAAAGAGTGTGCCAACCTCTTTAAAAAAAATCATTATTGAGATAACTCAACAGTAATTTACAAAGGTGGTGGGAGAAGGGTCCTTGCACCTGCTTGCCACTCTAATTGGCATGATGGACACCTAATCACAGTTAAAGAATATTGTGCTCTTATATGAAATACCCCCAAGTTAGCTTTTTTCAAATAGTTATTTTTATTTTAAAGGTTTTTGAACTCTAGATAATTAGAGGAGAGTTGATATAACTGACATATCCAGAAATTATACATATAATAGCATGAATGGCATTTAAATTGTGTTTACAAACTTATTAACACAATTCGTTGTGAGTTATACTTACCACTTTAGTAGAATAATTTGATCTATTGTAGCTTGAATATACATAGTGTAGGCATTTTTGGTAATCAGTTAATGTGCTAATAAAACTCTATTTTTGGTTAAATTTGCATGTGCAAAAATAGTGACAGCCAGTTGTAGAAAATATTTTAATTTTGGTAGAATTAAAAATACTTGTTTTTTAATAATTATATTAATATACAACTAGACTATTGTTTGTAGAGAAATAGTTAATTTTCAATTGAATCCTTTAAAATTTTTTGAATATAAATTAATAACTCAATTTAAAGTTAAATTCCCAAAATTGAGTTGGTAACTTCCTTGATGTCTTATTCAATTTCCGATAGCATTTTGGTATCAGTTGACATGGTGGCACGAATTGATAAGATAACAATAACCATTTTTTGATAGCAACTGACAGTCATCAAGATGTAATGGTGAGAATTTATTTTTTGATAGCAAAAATAATTGTAATAAAACCTTAACCAGGTAAATATATTCTATCAAACATTTTAATTGGGTAGTTAAGTTAGTCCTAAAACAATTCATACTTTATTAGTTGATTAGAACTTTAAAATTCCATCTAAACAATTGCTTAAACAATTTTTTTCTATGTTGAGTAAAGACGTAGAATGAAAAATCATGAATGGAGGCCACTACTTGTGTCTGTGGAACTGATGATAACTAAGTATAATTTCTTAAACACAGTTATTTATAAACCACAAAATATATTAGCTTAAAATGTCAACAAAGTGTAACCCTCTAAATTATTATATGAAACTTTAGTTTCTTAGAATTCATAAATTTACTTCTGTATATCTGACCTCCCAGTGTTGTTTGTTATTGTTTGTTATATAACCTGCATTCAGTAATCCAAAAAGTGTCTTGTGACAACTATAGTTTCGATTCACAGGGAATCATCTTCAGGCCGTTCAAGGGGTCGTTATTCATCTCCGTATATGAAGGTCGTAATTTAATAAATAAGTACATAGAACACGAACACACACGAAAACGCACATTGAAAAACGAACATTTAACAATAAAAATACCGAGTACTCAGAGACACGAGACAGGTGACGCGACCGGGTGGAGGTTGTGGCTCGAGCAGCTACAACCTCCACCCGGTCGCGTTTTTTGCAGAGGGCATTTTACTCATTATAAAAATATGTGAAAGATGGGTAAATTTATAATGTACTACATCTCACATAGGTGTGTATCGATTTTTTGTATTTTATTATGTCAATTGATTATTGTAGTATAGACTTTATGAAAATCACTTATCAGAAAAATCAATTTGATGTAATGTTGGAAATAAATGAATAAAATACACATTCAACTAATCAATTAACGAATAAACTTTGTTCCAGAAACTATTCAAGTGTCTGAAAGAGGATGTGCGCCTCAGAAGAGGAATATACACTTTTACCAAGATGGTAACTGGCGTATGGAAAACAAGATAGAAGAGGATGTGTACAACGTGGGGTGTCAAAACGATGAAGGACTGGGGATGAGATCACCTACCGAGTACTGCTACTGCGCGACCAACCTGTGCAACTCGGGTGACAAATCACGCGACCACGCCGACACCATGGCTGTCATCATCATCTTCAACCTACTCAAATACATCCAGAGTCTTCGGTAGCCCAAGAGATTAGAGATTTACAAATAGCTCCCATCAGTATGACACTGTATTTTAGAGCAATGCAAATCCACAACATTTTCAATATTCTTTTACCAGAATTTCTTATTATATTTTCATTTAGTAATGTTTTGATGTAGGAGGAATAGTAAATAGAAGGTTGATATTGTTTTTACGTACAACTTGAGTTTTTTCATATAATTTCACTTAGTCCTAATGAATAAAATTTTATACAACTTCAAACCAGCAATTATAATCCTTGCTTATTAAAAATTTGATTTGGATAGTTTTCTATGATGATTTTTACTATTAATTTATGTTTTTCTAACCCTACAGTTTATATTTAGTTCCTGTATTTTGAATGCTACCACTATATTTTGCATATATCGTTCTTATTAGTTCACTTTACTTTAATATGAGCCCTATCATATTTTCCCCTGTTTCCTTAACAAACTTATGTGTCTTATTACCATGTACAGGTATATTTTATTTTAAGTTTGGTAAGTAGTTTTAATGGTAGGTAATAAAAGTGCTTAGACCAAATGTAAGTGACTGACATAAACTATGGCTTCTAACATAAAAATATGGCTTAAAAAGATTGCCACTACTTAAAGAATTGTAAAAATATATTAATGGAAAATAAACATTGGGAATATAACGTGTATGACATAATATATTGCTGAGGCTGTTATACCATTGACAAAATTCTATTCCAGTCTACGAAAAGGACTTTCTTTCAGCATTCATTTGTGTGTGCTGTGGTCACTCTAGCTTGGCAGCAATTTTTTTTTAAAGTAACATTTATTAAAGGGATCAATAGCCAGTGTTTTCACTTCAAAGCACATATATTTAATATCATAGATATTAGTAGTTGGTTGTGTGAAATTCAATCTAAATATATGTATTTAAAAGTACCTAACATAAAGAATTTAGGCTATAATTGAAATTAAGTTATTCATTTGACTATAAAATAAATATTTCATTGCTTCCTTTACAAGATTAAAAGTTTGATTCTAGGTGCTACAATCGACTGCCTCCTAGTGAATATAAATCTATGACATAGCTTTTAAGTTTTAGTTTTAAGTTCATTTATATAGCACTTCGGTATGAAGTGAGTCAATTGTGATATCTTACCTTTCACCACATGATTTGTAATATAATAAATATTTATAAATGTTCATATTGTTTGTTTAAATCCATTTAAAACTTATGGAGGTAAAATGTATTCACTATTATTGAATATATTAATTCAGGATGGTTTACTCTTTTAATTCCAAATCTAGAAGTTCACAAGTATGTTAACTACTTAACGCCACTAGATTACAATCAGTACAAACCAAAATGTGTGGTATTTTTTGTATTTTGGTTTAGTTAACCTGTTTAGTTTTTGCTTAGTATAGTCGGTAGCGGACTGAGAAAGCAAGGAAACGATGACCTGGATTCATGTTAAGGTGCCGGCGATCCAAATTTATCCGTACAATTCATTCATATATTACATTGGCTGGTTCTTTGCTTTTCCGTATATGTTAGCCTTTAAGAATAATGTGAACAGGCAAATTCAATGTTAAAAGAGGCTGTCTCTTGAAAAAAGGAAATAAAGTTTGCTCAGAATTTGTTTGCAGTGGAGGTCAACAATCATTAAATAAACATCAACATAGAAGGCTTTGAATGCAAGATGTTATCAAGAGCCAAACGTGTTACTACACAATTTATCATTCTTGAAGCAAAACCAATGTCTTTGTAAACTTCCCATTTTTCACAATCACTGGTCAAATCTAGCAGGAGGAGTGAAAATGTGCTCCAACTTCAAGGAAAGCAGCCAAAAAGCCTTCCAAGAGCTATGAAACTTCACTAACATATCAATTTATTCCAGTCAAGCAATCCTTGTATCCATCTACAAGCCAAGAAACTAAAAAAACCAGCGTCCTGTACGAGATCTGCCACTGTGCCGTAATAATTAGTTGTATGGCCATGCATTTTATCATGCTTTGTTTTTGTTAGTTTATTGACGTGTCTGTAAAGTGTTTTTCGAAGACCTAAAAACCTCATAGAAGTGAAGAATTTTATGTTTTTCTACTTGAAAATAACTACATAGTTATCAAAACTGGGCGCCATTAGACGACTCTAGGATTACTTGGGCAGTAAGGTGATAACACTGTTATCTATATTATAAACAGGTTCTTGGAATCTGATGCATAAAATTATGAACCCTCTTAAGGCAATTAACAGTTATTACTGTAAATAACATATGTATCCTATAGACCATTTGGATGAAAATCTTAATTTTCATGAAGAAAGGATTTTAGAGGTTAATTTTTCTGCTGGTATATATATTGCAAGCTAACAGTTAATGTGCATCCACCGTGGATATGTTGTTTTGGGCCATGAAATAGACATACAAAAATACTACAGGTTTTTGGGATTTTGGAGCAATACTAAAGAAGTCCCGACATTGAGCCAAGAGAACTTAATAGAGCAACTGGAAACTCGCTTCGTATGCAGATTTGCTGCAATGGGGGTGCTTCTCTTTACTTCTACTGAAAATAGTACCCCCTTTTCATGCTAGTTAATCAACATAAACAATCTGGTTTACTTACCTGGTTGCTATTTTCAACCAAGTATAAAAACACCACGTCCTCCCTCTTGAGCCGGACTGCGGAATGTAACGGGTATCTGGTCTTAGTCTTGAACATATGGTAGAGGAGTGGCGCAGACATGTGCTCAAAATCTTCACTTGTAAAATCATCCTGAAACCATCGAGAGAAGTCACTTTGGCAAGTCTAACATGTTTAGGTTTTCTTGAAGAAACTATGAGAATAATTAGGGAAGCAAATGTTAACTTATTACCCTTTTCCACTCAGTGGATTATTCAGTGATTTAATTATGGGTATATTTATCATGTTTTCCCTCACATCAGACCAAAACCCAAATAATTTTAAAAAGAATTTTTGGTGGTCACACACAGCCAAGATAATAACAAAACATTTTCAGATCAACAGTTTGAACCAAACACTAGTAAATCAAAGGGAGAGCTAAATAATTCTTTATGCAGATGATTCAAACTTAAAGATATCAGGGGAAAAATTTGAGGATATAGAATCTGTGGCAAACTCAGAACTTATTAATATCCAAAGGTTTTTAAATGAGCATAATTTATTTTTAAATATTTCTAAAAGTAATTATATTAACTTTTCTACCAAAAACAAAACAATTGCTTTCCCCAACATAAAAATGTATAATACATCTTTAGAACGTTGAACGTGCATTTCCCGTTGTGTATGAGAAGGGAAATCCTGTCTCGATCTCGTCTCAAAATGTTATGAGAAATAACAAATTTTGTCTCGTCTCTTTTTTTAAATAAAAATCCAATCTTGTCCATCCCTATTTGCTAAGTTATGAACCATGAACATCAATGCTTTGTTCTTATTCTGAGCTACAGCTGCTGAATTACTTAAGTTAAAAAAATTAAAAATTGTGATTGAAATCATTTGCCAGAGTTTTCAAAGAAGATTATTTTTCAGGCTGCTCTGAACATTATATGGTATCTCATTATTTTGTTTATAATGGCCCAACTCATGGGAAACACCCTGTATAATTTATGAAAAATTTTTTTATTACAGACCATCTATCTATATTATTAATACAATGCATGAAAATGTGTAAACAATAAGGCTTTTTTGTTTTAAAATTATTTAATCTCACATATTCAATACCAAAATGTTCGTGTAGAAGTGTAGATTTGCAAACTGACGCATTTTTGAAAAAGTCCTTTGGACTCTGCCCCAGTGGCTTTTAGAGTTCCCATGTTATTCTTTAAAGAATATATTTGTTTACATATGACATGGTTTAAATGAAATATTTACTATTTGAATTAAGGTTAGCGTAAATATTACAATGGAAAAAAGCAAAAAAGCCCAGACAATTTCATATACTAAAAAGAAAACTGAATTAACAATGTGCTGCATTTTATTGAAAGAGCAGATTTGCAAACTATGGAAACATACGAAAGTCATAGAACACCACCAAGAAGATAAAATATAAGTAATCTTTTTTTTAGAATTTATAATCGTTATTACAGACAACCTAATGCGGCTATGAGTGGAAAATTTGCCAAGTTTGATCAAAATATTTTCATAAACAAGCAAACTAAAACAATGCCATTGTTTCCGTTGGTAACGCAGATTTTTAGGGCTCGATTTTGCCGCTAGAAGCAGCACACTACTTGGCTAAAAATTGCCCAGGCTAAACTCCATAAGGTTGCCTCTCTCATTATAATACTTCATCTATGGTAGTAGTAACTAAATTTTACTAACTTTTCCTTAATGAGGACCCTTGGAATCGACCCCTCAAAAAAAAACTATGCCACTGCATCAGAATTTTGAATATTTTTTGAACAAGACATTAAGTTACATCATTAACATTATTTCTTATGGCCAGTCAAAGTTCAAATGTTGAATCAATAATGTACAGAAGATTTAAGACCCCAGAGATCAGATTTCAGAATTTTAGCAACAATGTTCAAAAACTAATTGTGATAGTAAAACTTGGTCTGTTCATGAAAATGCATGTAACCTATTTATCTTATATATTACAAAGGCCTATACTGAATGAAACCTAGGAAAGAAAATACAAAAGAAATATATAAAAGGAAAAATTACCCAGTAAGTAGAAATTAGTGTAGAACAATGGTCTTTGAGATTATCGGCACCAATTTCATCAGCTGTTGAGTAGTATTTGACACAGTTCTTGACACTTACTGAAGCAATCAGTTCTTTCTCACATCTGAAACATAATAACAGTTTGTCTATAAAAATTATTATAAATAATCTCTTTCAAATATTTGTGTTTCATGAGGTTAATTAATTAACCTATTTCATTAAAATTAAAGAAATGCTTGTAAGTTAGTAGGCTAGATGGGTAGCTAAATTATTTAAAGTTTTTTTTAAAGGTAATTCATGTATTGTTGTTAATGTTTGTTGTTGTTTATTTAAATGGTTAATTACAGCTTGTTTCTCTCAAATAGTGCGTTGTTCTTGAACCTCCATCCATGGTTCTCACTTTGTTTGTTTTTTTTTTGGTGGGCCGCTCCTCGGGCCTGCACATGGATTCACGCTTCCAAGTCGTTGGCCTGGGTGCAGGTACGAGGGCGCGGTTCAATTGTAAAAAACAATACACAACGTTTCGAGATCTGGAATCTGATCCCGTCCTCAGGTGAATAAAACTTAACTAACACATTACAACTAACTATACACAAACGCCCAACCTAAGTTGGAATACACTATAGAAGGTAGCAGTAAAAAAAAATGCACTTTAACAAAAATTTTAAAACAATCTGGCAAGAAATGTGCCTTTTATACAAGACAAACGTTTAAAATCAATACTTTCCGGCAATTTTACCATCTTGAAAATTACCCACTTCCGGGATTCCGATTTTCCTAGACTTTTACTATGTTTTTTAACATATCGATTGCATTTAATTAATGGTACAAGACCATTTGAAGCAATTTTTTTTATGGTTGTGCAATACATTTTACTATTTTGACACGTCTATATAGGGAATAAACTATTACCGTAGATCTCATGGTAAGACCTGGACCGGGACTGATTTACTTTTTTTTGTTTTAATGTCTCAAGACGCCAAATAAGTGTACATTATTCATTGAAATTCATATATGTATGTGTGTGTTTGTTAGCATGTTAACCCCCAAAGCATAACGTTTCTAAACTTTTTGCAACAGACTTGAAAAAATTCAAAAATATCCTGAGGGCTTACACGGTCGAAATTGAGTGTAAATGAACCACGGCGTGATAGTTTTAATGAATATTTTGAAATTAATAAGTTTTCAAACACTCGTATCAGTTATTATGAATACGTCTACTGTTAGTGCATTGAAACACTTTGGTAATTCGGTTATTCTCTGCCTTCTTCCTCACGAACGATGCACCAAATATTGACATTGCAGCTTTCGTTTATGTAATGCATGACGCTTTGTAGCGTTACTGTTTGCAGAACAGAGAATTTTTCTGCTGAAAATAAAGTTGTCAACTTTCTACCGAAATATTTCCTGCAAAAAAATGTATTGACTTTTTATGTGGAATTTTCTGCAGATATTTATACAGGTTAAGGTGGCCCTTATTTTACCTATGAAAATAAATATTTAAAAAATTATAACCAGTC